ACTGAAGTAAAAATAAATATCTTTTTATATTTCAAATTCATCTTTATCTTCATAACACATAACTCATTTCATTTCCTTGCTAACCAAACTTTTTTATATCAAAAAAATAAAATGAAAGAAAATTCACTTATGGGATATTGAAGAAAGACGATTGGTTAAAAAGTATTATGGACAAAAACAAGGCAAATTTGTTATCAGATCTTGTTTTGGAGGAATAGATCAAGGATTTATTGTTAGTGGAAGTGAAGGTTTTGTATATATTAATTATTTTTTGATATTATTGTTATTTTTTATTTTAGATTGATCATAATTTTTGTTCAAATTTCATTTACCAGACTCAAAAATATATGTTTGGCATCGAGAACATGCTACATTAATAGAAGCACTGCCAGGTCATAAGGGAACTGTGAACAGTGTCAATTGGAGTCCAGTAAATTCTTACATGTTTGCTTCAGCTGGAGATGATCATACTATTAGAATGTAAAAGTTTTTTTTTTATAGATTGGTTATTTATTTATTTATATCATGATGATTAATTAATATGAAATAAAATAGATGGGGTATCCCAAATGCTGCAGGCTAAAGGGAAAGCGAAGACACCATGACTTTTTATTTATTTTTTATTTATGTATATATTTATATTCACAATTACTCACGTATATAAAAAACTATTAATAATATTCTCATCATTTTTGCTTTGAGGAACTGATTGATTATTAAAACTGAATAAATTAAAGCAACAAATAGATTATTATTATAGTATTAAAATTTTTCTCTCCCTTTTAAATAAATCACAATTATTTTTTGTAGTTTTTTTTTAATCTACTTTTTAATTATTAATTAAATATTTTAGAGAATTGGAAAAAAAAACATGTGCGTGGGATTATTAGATGCTTTATATGATAATTACTATCATTTTTTGGATAAATTTGTTTTACTTAATTAGAAATAATTTTCAAATAATTAAAAAGTTGATAATAAGAAAAGAGTCTGGCGTGCGTGCGTGTGTGTTTTTTTTACAAAAGAAGACTTTATTTTGACGATAATAATAACAACAATAACTAATAAATAAACATTTGATAATCGAAATAATCTCGCCGATTTCAAAATAATTACGTTATCGGTTATGTCATATTTAAACAACAAGAAATAATAAAAAAGCGTCAATAATAATTTACCACCGAGTTTTTAACCGGCATATCCGAATACATCAAAGATGGTTATATATGGAACACATACAAGCAAATGTATGTTATTCTATGCTCGTGGAAAAATAATAATTTAAAGAAAAAAAAAAGCAGATTAAATTCTGTAGATCATCTATAATATATCATTTAGATAATTTTATTGTTCATGATTCGAGCCTCAAACTTATTATTAGCTAGTTTTTTTAAATTAAAAAAATTAGCCGAGCTCTATGTATATAGCAATAAATTGAAACTAAAGGCAAATCATTACAAAATTTAGACATTGTAATTGTAGTTCAAACATGTAGATCACATGATATTTCTAATATCTACGTCTTTTTTTTTGAGCCATGCAGGGAATATTTGATTTCTAAAGGGCATTCTTGCTAACTCTATTTTTTGCTTTACCCTGCATTTTGCTCTAAATTTTTTTTCTTCGGGTAAAGAAGGTTCTTAATATAGTTGGGAAAAGTAGAAAACTCCGATCGTAAAAATTTTATATTTGGTTTAGTATTTGGGACATGCTGTAACAAAACCAGACAAAGCGAACATTGGTATTACCAAAGATTTCAGGGATCAAAATTTAGTCATTTGTAATGTGATTATAATTAAAAGTTTTATAATGTCCCATTTGTTATCTTAAGTGATATATAGAATTATCCCTATATAAAAATAGTTAATATGAAACTTATTTACATCAGATCTACTATGAACCTAAGAATTATAGTACTATCAGAAGTTACCTTGAAGAAAGAACAAGGTGAGAAAATTGCTCCTTATGTTTTCAAATTAAGTAATACTCAAGCACTTGAAACTTATATAGGGAAAGAAAAGAGATGGAAATTTAAATAGAAAGGAATTTTGTATAGGAATGTTTTTGATTAACAAAAGACTTCAAGGAAATCCAGTTCCTGATAAGTTGCCAAATGAACTATTGGCATGATGCAAAGTTTCAAATTTGTATTACTTATGAAATTTAGAAAAATAATAAACAAAAAAATTAATAAAAGCTTATCAAAAAGTTTTTTAATGAAAGTAACAAATATTATATTAAAAAAAATAAAAAAATAAAAAAAAGAGTGATTCTAAAAATCAACAACAAATAATTTTTTAATTTTATGTTTCATTGAGCTCCACTTCTTTGAAATTGCCTGATTTTTTCATAACAGGCCTAAGTCTTGTAGCTCAACACAGTTTAACCTCTTGTTAAAAATATATTTTAAGAGTATTTTTGTTTCTTCACTGGTCCAGTTCCTAGACCCATGTAACGCTGGACCATCCTGTTCTACTAGACTTTCCTCGTCACTATTAATATTTTCCAGCTTCTCAACTACCACTTGCATAACAGCAGGTTCTTCACTCTGTTCCTCCTCATCATCATCATCCTCTTCTTCGCCATCAATGCTCTCTAACTTCTCGATTACCACCTGCATTGCAACAGATTCCTCCTCCTCCTCCTCTTCTTTTTTAGCGACAGTCAATGGAGGAACAGAACTTAACATTGTAGAAACTGTAGAATGAACTGCAGACCTTGGTTGTTGCCTTGAAAGAATATTACTTGTTGCAGCAGTTGTTGGAATGGTTGTTTGATCGCTGTTATCATTACCATCGTTGCCATTATTATTTGTGTTTTCAGTTGGTTGTTGTGTAGTTGCTGTAGTAGTACTTTCTTTCATGTGGATTTCATTTAATATCCCACGTATTTCGTGTGGTTCTAATGGCTTTAATGGCATTCCACTGTATAATATGATCTTTTGAACGAACTTTCAATATTTATTATTTTATCGTTGTCAATCTATTACAATATTATCAAAATTGAATTCACTAAAATAAAAATAAGATATTCATTTGAAGAGAATGCAATTTACTTACAATAGATGATGATGATGATGTTCGTGAAGAAGAAATCTCACTAGTAATGAATTAAAAGCAATGATGATAATTAAAATATTAACTAGAGTAATGACGAGTGGTGGGCGATAACCACCACCATCCTTAAAACATTTACTCGCGTCTTTCCCTATCGTTTGCATTAATTCTTTTTTTTGTATTTTTTATTCTGTTGGACATTTTTAAAAAAAAAGTTTGTGAATTGATCGACACTAATTATTTATCCTATTGGTTTTTTTTTGGGAGGACAGACGCAAATTGATTTTTTTTTTTTTTTTTGGAAAAACAATTTATTTTTTGACAGAGTCCAAGGTGACAAAACGTGAGTGTTGTTGTTTGGTTTGGCTTGGACTCCTATAGAAAATGTGTTAATAACAAGCTTATAACTGAGAACGCAATGTGAGCCTCTTGCTTTTCGTGTTACAAAACACGCATACCGTTCTACACAAGAATAAAAATTCAATTAAGTTGGGTTTTGCGTCTTCTGCAAAAAAATAACATCACTCGGGTCAAGACAATAGTCTATTTTATTAAATTCGAAACATATAAATAGGACAGCCGTCCAATTTTTTTTTTTTGTTATTTTTTCGTAGAGAAATTCCTCTAGGCGATTTCAGCGCACGGAACTCAACCTTCTACATGAAATAATTGTTCGTTATTATTATACAATAACACAAAATTTTAACCCACGCAATTGACCAATTAAAATCATGAATTTAAAAATAAAACATTTAATGTGGGTTTGATTCTTCCACTGGCAAGAGTTAAAAAAAATATATAATTTTCTGTAAACTTACTATACCATTCTTGTAACAATAACAATATCTTTTCTGTAGAGTCGTATATAATTTTTTGTGAATTTATCATGTCTTTTCTGTAAATATTCTGTGAAAAGTATACTGGAAGTTGTGTTTTCTGTAACATATTTCCGTAACCTTTTTGTAAAATTTTTTAATAAATTTTTTTGTAAGCTTGTAAATTTTTTTTCATTGGATTATTTATTCATCAGTTGTCATCTCAATACCTACATTACCATCTGCTGCTGCTAAAGCTGAATTAATTGAACACTATTTTCCTCTTGAAGAATTTCATTTAAATACTCGTAACACCTAATTGGTCAATGATCTACAAAGGGTTTATCATACAAATACAAGGTTTTTAAAATGGATGGCGATTTAAATTACGATAAATATCAAGATATTGCTTTTATTAAAAAAATCAATGATGTTGAACATTCAACGAAAAGAAATAAATATTTTGGAAAATGTCCAACTTGCAATGAATATAATACTCATTGTGGATGGTGTCAATCATGTGATCCAAATCTATTAACCAAAGGATGGACTAGTGGTAATAAAATGATAGATGAGTTGATTAAAAGTACACAACTTGAAGCAACAAGATATGATAATTCTTATTATCTTCAATGGATTCCTCATAATGATTTAACAAATATTGAAAATATAGGTGAAGGTGGTTTTTCAACTATATACAAAGCTACTTGGATAAATGGTTATAAGTATGGATATGTTGATAAAAGGCTTAATAGGGATAGGATTGTGGCATTAAAAAAATTACAAAATATTTCTCATGAATTTCTTAATGAGGTAAATTAATTTTTTCCTATTTATTTATTTTCAGATTTAGATATTATTCTGAATTCAATATATTTTTTTAGTTCAAAAATTACATCAAGTTACATGTCAAACATCACCAAAAAATTTATATTTTTGGATTAACACAAGATCCATTTATGAAATACTATATGATTGCAATGGATTACAAAGAAGATAGAAGTCTTCAAGATTATGATGAATATTTATATAAAAGAGAACAAAAATTTGGAAAATGCTTGACTTGCAATAGATATAATACTAATTGGGCATGGTGTCAATCATGTGATCCATATCTATTAACCAAAGGATGGACTAGTGGTAACGAAACACTAGATGAGTTGATTAAAAGTACACAACTTAATGCAACAAGGTATAATAGTTGTTATTATCTTCAATGGATTCCTTATAATGATTTGACAAATATTGAAGAGTTAGGTGATGGTGGTTTTTCAACTGTGTACAAAGCTACTTGGATAAATGGTTACAAGAATGCATTTATTGATAATAAACTTAATTGGAATAGGATTGTGGCACTAAAAAAATTACAAAATATTTCTTATCATTATAAATTTCTTAATGAGGTGAATTAATTTTTTTCTATTTATTTTCAGATTTAGATATTATTCTGATATTTAATATATTTTTTTTAGTTCAAGTTACATGTCAAGCATCATCAAAAAATTTATATTTTTGGATTAACACAAGATCCAATTACGAAACACTATATGATTGCAATGGATTACAAAGAAGATAGAAGTCTTCAAGATTATGATGAATATTCATATAAAAGAGAACAAAAATTTGGGAAATGTCAGACTTGCAATAGATATAATACTCATTGGGCATGGTGTCAATCATGTGATCCAAATCTATTAACCAAAGGATGGACT